TCACCAAACATTACACCAAAACGTACACCAAATGAATTTTATTCATTCTTTCGATTTTTGACAATATATTTATTTAAAAAAATTGTTTATTTATTTATTTTATAACTATATAAATTACTAAATCATAATTTCGTTAAATTAACAAATATATTGATTACTAAATTATTCACGTGTTTTATATATTATGTTAAATTGACAAAAATAATTGATTATATTATTAATTTATGATAAAAAATTACGTTAAATTTACAAAAATAATAAATTTTAATAATATAAACTTTGCGTTAAATTAAACTTTAAACGTAAACTTTACGAATTAAACTTTACGCTAAATTAACAATTACGTTAATTATTATTGATTATATTATTAAAAATAATAAACTTCAATAATATAATTAATAGTATAATTAATTATCATCATCATCATCATTATTATAGAACGAAAATGACGCAAATACCCTTAACCATTATCTTTGAAAAATGAAAAACAAGGACAAAACGGACATTACACCATTTGGTAGGGCATGCATTGGAGATGCCCTTACCTTCTCCTTTTATCTGTAGAAGAAGGCTTTCAAATGGACAGCCTAAATCATCCTATAATGATCACAAATAACCGAATGAACTCCAGGTATTGTTACGCTACAGTCCTCTGATTTAATGAACTAAAATTCAAAATGACTGTAAAATGAGAGAGAGTCCAGGGCTGTTGGTATCTCCAACTCTTTTTCAAATGACTTACACCGCATGCAAAAACGGTCGTCCATCTCCTCTTAAGACCAAAGAAAAGAGACACAGAGGTTTCAATATCTTTCATTTCTTATCTGTCATTCATTAAAAAAGTTGTTCAATTGATATTTTCCAGGAGCCTGTGTTAGGCACATGAGTTCTGACTCTATGAGCTTGGTGGGATCACATGGTTACTGACTCTTGGATGCACAAGAAGGAAAATCTGAGGCTGTGGGATCCACCACTTGAGATCCAACACACTACCAGCGGTTCTCATTTTAATGGGACCCACCGATAAGTACTATATGGTGCGCACAAGAGCCTCATTTTTTTTATTGCAAAAACACTAAAAAACCATCCAGTTGGAAGAGAATAATGTCGATAGTAAACTGCCCTTTATGGCCTTATCAAGTCTTTACTGTTATAATGTATTTGGTTGAACATGCGAATACAGAAAAGAACTGCCGAAAGTAAATTAAGGAGAATAGAGGACCACATGCAATGAACAATGTCACTTGAGCGCCCCCAATCAGCGAGGAATTAGGCTGCAGTCTCCTCACATGAGAGGCCACCAAACCATGAATAAAAAGTCGATGGGCCCCGCATTGTGAGGGGGCTAACGCACACACCAGGCTTTGATAAAGTCACCTACCCTTTTAATAAAATCGTTCCTACTTGAAAGGACAAAGATTGTACCAGACCCAGTTTGAACAGTTATTTACTTTATACGTAAATATTATAGAATTTAGATAAAATATTAACAGTTGAGATAACTATTTTGTTTCAACGAGAAGCGAAAATCCAAAAAAATAAAAAATAATTAGTTTTAAGAAATAGCATTTTTTTTTCTTTTTGAAAGGCTAAGAAATAACATTTTATTATAAAAATAAAAAGAAATATCAAAAGAAAGAAACGTAATAATTTTAAACTCGTCTTTCTTATATAAATAAATATCCTCCCATAGTTGGACATTTCAATTTCATATGTTAAACAAAAATTCCGTGACCTTTATTTATATGAAAAGACCGTTGGGGCCCGTGCACGTGGTCAAATTTTCCACGTCCAAGTTGTTTATTCGTGTACTTGGCAAAATCAATCTTCCTCTTCTTTTACATATCAATTGAACTAAAAAAAATTGCAACCTATTTGAAAGTATAAGAATTGATTAATTAGGTGTTTGAGAGCCATTTTTATGTTAAAAATGCATTTTAGAATGGTAACTTGACGAAAAGTGTGTGGTTGAAAAATAACGAAATTTTTTTTATTTACGTGTAATATTATTTTAATAAAGAATGTATGGTTGAAAAAAAGAGAAAGAAAAATGTATTTTGAAAAAAATGGATACCAAACGGGGCTAAAATAATTTTTCAAGAAACACTCGTATACAAATATTAAACAAAGCACAACTTTAAAACGTATGAAAGTATGAGTGTTGAAATAGACAAATATAATGTATTCAAATCAAAATTTTGGCGGCATCAAGGATTTATTTGCCTATAAATGTAAAAATTAAGGGTGACAATGAATCGAGTGAGCGTGATCCTTAGATTCAGAGATAAAACTCGACTCATGTCCACAAACTGGACTTGATTCGACCCTTTAACTCATGCCAAGACATGTCGGCTCATGGACCCTGACTCGTGATTCAACTCTATACACGGTCTCAAACAAGTCAAAGCCGTCCATGAGTCAATGGCTCGGCCAGTTTGTCGTCCAGGGAATGTTGAAATAAATCTAATTAATTTTTAAGTTCGAAATTTCTTCGAATTTCTATTGTTTGTGTGTGCCCCTTGAGCCAGATTAGAGAATGAAGTACGTGGAAGTGAATTGAGACTGTAAAAAGCAGTACCCGAAAGTGGCGAGTTGAGCGAGAAAGAATGAATATTGCTTCAGAGGGACTAACGCAAGCTTGTACAGCACCCGATTCCCTACGCCCAGCACCACCGTCGTCGCTGCCGCAACCACCACCTCCACCCTCCGATCACCGTCTTTACTCTTCTCTACCGCCACAGCCTCCTGATGTTCATGGTCGTACGCACAACAATTTGGTGGCTGGACCTTCCTCTTCACCTCCTCCTCGCCTGTTGATCTCAATCCTCTTACTCTCGTGGACCCTACCGCCGCCTCAATCACCCAATTCCTCGATTGTAAAACGCCCTGTTCTCCTACTCCCACTCCACCTCTGAACTGGAGCCGTGGACGGTCCATTTGTAGAATTACTGAGAGTCGACGCGGAATGTGATGAATCACAGCCGGCGTCGCGGCGGCTCCGGCTGTCATCCGGCGATAACTTGTTAACATCTCGTATATTACTAGTATATCTACTGTATGTGTATACAAATCAATTAGGATGCGAATTTCTCTGATTAAACATACAATTAATGCATGAAAAATTGTTGAAGAAAATCTGGACATGAAATAAATGGAGAAATAAACCGATTCATCTGTGTCGACTGTATATATTTGACCGGGAAAAACAAACAATTCGGATTGAGTTGTCAACGTCATAAAAGTTCGGATTTTTTTCTTAAAAAAAGGGACCTTTTTTTTTGTAATTTACTTTCCTGCACCCCCTTTTTTAATCATCATAAAGGGTCACCCCTTATGGGCCGTTTGAACCCCATTATTTGTAAATTATAATGAGGTAAATAGTATTTTTTTGAAAAGTAAGTGGTTGAAAAAATTTTTGATTTACGTGTAATATTATTTTATTAAAAATTGTGTGGTTAAATGTAGGAGAGAGAAAATTTTAATTTAATGTAATGAGAAATAATGGGACTCAAACGGGGGCTAAGATATGTTTGATGTAGATTTTTCATAGTAAATTTTTTATGAGAAATATTTGATTGAAAAAAAGGAAAAAAAAAAAAGAATTCACGTATAAATTATTTTATTAAGAGAATATATGATTGAAAAGAAATTAAGAAAAATGAGTTTTAAATAATTTGTACGAAGTAGGACTAATAATTTGTTTTGAAGGGATTATTTGAAGTGAAAAATGATTCTCATGACTAATAAGTAATTAAAATATGGAAAAAGATTATTGATTCACGTGTAAAATCATTTTATTAAAAAAATGTTGTGATTTTCAAATAAACTATGTCAAACAAATGCTAATAAACAATTGAAAAATATTTTTTGATGGATTATTCTCGAGTGGGGCAGTCTCAATTCACTTTGCAAAGAAAACGAGGACTGCGATAGTATCATAATTAAAAGCTGCAGTTGCTCCTTCCACACAACCACCATTAAATGTAATCCATGTTTGCAAGGTTGATGCACCAAAAATGGAGAGAATTATCCGTGACCTATCACAGGAGAAATCGGTGAGGTCCACTTCCCAACAGCTCTGTTCTTTTACGAGTAATTATACTATGTTGTTGGATTTTGGAGGTTTTGGTGAAGTCTACAAGGGAGAGTTCCCGCATGGAGATAAGATTGCAGTAAAAGTAATCCCGCTTATGTAGCCCCAGAATTCATGCTGAAGAATTTCCCTATAACGTATAAATGTGATGTTTATAGCTTTGGTATTTTACCATTTGAAAATAGTTGGAAGAAGGAAAAACACGATGTGAGAAAATGTCTATGGAAGCCCTGTGGTGTGTTCAAGATTCACCAAAAGCTAGGCCCCCTATGAATGTTGGGGTGAAAATGTTGGACGGAGGGGTGGTCGAAATTATGCCACCGCCTAAACCATTCCAATATTTGTTCGCAGTCCTGGTAGACGTGCTGCACCCACCTAATAATACTGGGAGTGATTCCATATATTCAACAAGTGGAACAAATTCTTATTGGTACAAGGAAAAAAGGGCCCCAATTATGAAAAAGCACAAGATACAAATGGCAATTTCTTGAAGAACTAATTGAGGATTTCTTTGCATAAGATCTTTTATGTTGGTTGCAAACAAAATTTGGTAAGTTTCACGTACCGAAGCAAGAAAACAAGGAAGAGATAAAGGGATTTTGAATATCTATCAGAGTAAATATGTTGCTATAAGTATATGAAGTATTAACTGGATAATTGTAAGATTGTTGTAAGAACCAAGAACGTTGTAATATATCATTGAGCATCCCCGTTTATACACGAGTACACGTGAGGTAAAGATTACTAAACACTAAAAAGGCGTCATCTTGCAAAAAGTGAGTAGAAATAAAAGAGTAAACTTACTGTACATGAGGAAACAAATCACTTCCAATGCTTGTGTTCTGCATTATTATTGACCGTTGAGGAAAGCAATGCACAAAAAATTTCGTTAGCACGAGTAGTAATATAAAAAAATTATTTGGATTCCTAAGATATTATTTTACAATAGAAAGCCTACTTTCCTCTGATCAATCTAACTTAAATGATCAAAATCACAAATCATGACTCAACAGGGTTCTTGTACATCAAGTACCTATTATTCTAGTACATGAGCAGGGAGCATAAGAACCTACTGGATTCTGCTCATTCTGTGTCATATAAACTATGTGTTTTTATCTAGTTTTTTTCTGAGTACGAGTACAATGACGTGAATCCAGTTGATAACAGCGGCTTAAGAACCCAACTTAAGGACTTATTTCCCCCTAATTAGTAAGCATCAGATTTAAATGGAGCAAAGGGGAGATGAAACAGCATGACAGTTCAGGAGGCATGAACAGAAATATTCTTGAATGCGAATGGGACCTTTTTGTCCTTATTTATGTTGAAATTTCTCTAACCGACTAGCAACTCCGAAAATGCCTGCCTCCAGTGTCTCATTGCATTGATGCCGATAAAGGATGTCAAAAAAACATTATCCGGTTTATAGCTAACTCACGAGAGAGGATTCATGTTTGGAATTCTCTGACGGTCTCCAGGTATAAAAAAGCAAACCCACAAGAAGGACAATGGCACCTGCTACAAAGCCAGGTGGAAGGGAGGATGCAACCCCAGTATAGGGGAGAGGCAACGTGAATAAATATACAGTTATTGGCACTGCAAAAACAAGAGTCGAGAAACATACTAAATGTTAGTGACAAACCATGATTCGGAGAAAAACATAAAAATACAACTTTTCAAGGCATAGTATGCTTAAATATTTTTTTAGACGTTTATCAACCCATGACATGATGAGACTAATATTAATAGTTCACATGTGGTATTGATTCATATTTGACAAATAAAAGTCTTAGATAATGGTGTCTTATAATTCACCATCCACCGAATATCAGAAAACAAAAGTCGTGTGATATTTATACCTTTTCTACATAAAAATCATACCCATTTCATATTTTTTGTTTCATTTAACATATAATAATAAGAAAAGTAAAAAACTTATTATATATATACGAAATATAGAACCCTTGTTATATGGAGTACAGAAACTTTGTTAGAAATTACTTATCGGGCTTTGGACGAAAACAATGGTTGCAAATTAGCTCTAAACTTATGCTGGATGTGGATTGAATAAAACAAAAAAATCAACCTACGTTCTTCAGAATTTGGCATGGAGCATCGTCCATTACATAAATAGAGCTATAGCATTCCATATATTTGAAGTGTTTGGATCATCAAAAGTCAAACAAAAGTGAAGTGCAATGGCAAGACTTCAAACCAGAAAACTTTCTGGAAAGACTGAGGAGTTATGCAGGCTACAGCACACACATGAAAAGCTAATTTCAAACTCTACAGCAGGGATAATGGGCCTGACACATGACATAGCTTTTGTGCTTGAAATGCAGCTATTTCGAGGATCTATTGGATTGTTTATTTTTTCTGAAGTGTCTCATACTTGTCGTTTACTAGAGAACTTTCATATGTCAATTTTATATAGTTTTGGAAATAGTATTGTGATATTTTGAGTATGTATGTTAGTAGTAGTTTCTTTCAAGTGTTTTGGAGATCATGCTGGCTACGGCTAGAGCCTACAAATATAATACCACTAGAACTCTTTTCAACTGTCATAAATTGAATGTTCCCTCTTCCCTTGCAAGGTTATTTCTCTTTGGAGTTTGAAGAAAATGTTCTTCTATTGTTCAATTGCTTTTCCCTCAGTCAAGAGGTCCTGCGATCAACTCTCTATTCATAACTAGTAAGGACAAAATATAATGAACTCTGCATAGTAACCTGAAATGACAACATAAATTCAAGATGAAAACTAGGGAGGGAGTAAATCTAAAATTTTATAGCAGTATCCGGTCCTCCTTGTAACTATAAATCTATATTACGTCTTTGTTTCTTTGATAAGCTGGATTAGTGAGTACTTGATATTATCAAACTAGAGTAAGAGACGTTAATATCTTATCCGTTTTGCATTCCGGTTCAGTCAAGTACAGTATTCCAAACATGCCCTTTTAAGTACAGTGAGATTAGCAACTTACTGAAATTTTGGGATGAGTATAAACTAATCACGGCTATTCATGACTGATCGCATTTCAAATAAAATAAAGGGTTTTCACTTCTGAGATACACACAAACTACTGACTAGTTGAAGGTGCACTTGCAGGAAAAAATAGCTACGTAAAACAATCAAAATACCTGTAAACGTTGATGCAAGACAAGATACCACAGCAGAAGAGATCTTGAGCAGATGCAGCAATGAAATATTGAAACACATATTGACAATGATAAAGAGAAGTGGTAGTAAAGGTGCACCATCACAGCCTGTGTCCAGAGTAGGTTCAAAAATGTCATCAGCTGTTACTTTCACATAAAAATGAAGTCCGATCAAACATCGTATATGTGTATATCATCTTTATATACCTATATTCTGCAATACGATAGCTATGATCATAAGTATCTAAAGTCATAATTGTTATCTATAATGTGACACGAAGAACGTAATACTTTGCCCTTCCTCAATTATTCGAACACTAAGAAAAGCAATTTCTGAGGTAAAAAATCATGTTAATCATTTAAGTCCATATTTCTTACTTAATAAAGGAACTCGTGATGTTCTATAGAAAGAAAATTTCATAAGTATCCTTACTCAACTGTGAAACGTCAAACAAATCTTCTTACTTCACAATGTTGATAGAAAAATGATTTCGAGTTCGCTTCTTCTAATTTGGTTGAATGCAAGTGCCCATTTAAGAATTGAAGGCAAAAATTGTTCTCAACTGTCATGCATAGAAGATTTTATTACGCGTGCTTTCAAGTTTTCACTATATTTCTCAATTCACTCTTATAAATTATCTCTGGCAATTACAAAAGCCTATTTTCTATAATATACTAGACTGTTGATGCACATATTCATAATAATCACAGTATAAAATAGAGCGAGCAACAGTGAGATGAACAAGGCCGGCGAGCTTAGAATCTTCCATCTTCCGATTTAAAAGGTGAATGATGGTGTCAAAAAAATGGAAATTCAACATGTAACTTCTTAACTGAAACTAGAAATTTGTGGTCAATATTCCACTTTTATACAGTTGGGCTCTGTGTACAAGAGAAAGCGGAAATATAAACATGTTGGTTATATGTTTTGCAGAGTAAATTAAAGAAAAGCATAGAAGACATCTTCATCTTTAACCTTCAAAATCAAGTAGTTTAGAAAGAGATCCTTCTTCATTCGGAAAGAAATTTTAAACCAAAAAAGGATAGTTGATCTGACATAATCAGCCATGCCATACGGTTTAAATGCATGAAAAAACTTGTTAAACCGAACATTGAAGGGAAAAACATGAACAAATTAAAAAATAATAATAATAAAAAATAAAGAAGCAGAATCATGAGTAACAATGACTTACTCTTTGACATGGTTCCAATGTTCAAAAAGCAGGCTGAACCATCTTTAAAGTAATTTGGAAGTTGACTGAATGGAATACCCCATAAGTTTGATAAGAAGGGTATCAGGAGGCATATGAAAATTGCCTGTACATGTATTAAAGGAGTTTTCAGGCTCTCGGTGAAATTTAAGTACGCTATAAAACCACAATTTCAAAGAGCATTAAAAAGCTTAATATCTAACCTGGTAAGCAGATCCAAAAGAGTTTATAACAAATAGATCGACGCTACCTCCCTGTCATAGCAGCCACAAATATATCCAAAGTTATTGTTTCATCTTGAAACCATATGAAGTTAAAACTAAAATTTATTTGACATTTACATGAGATCATCCTAAATAGACTTTTGGTATCTATGATAAACTCTACATATCCCATGATTTGTACAAGGACCGAGCAAATGTCATGTAACCATGTCGTGGGTCCCACATGTTCAAATGATATGGTAGTACTTTATCATTCATTATATACTAAAGTGAGGTCCAAACAAAATCAAATGATAAACAACTCGCATTAACTCAATTAATAATTTTCTGAAGATACAAGAGTAGGCTTTGAACTTGATTTAATACATTGGGAAGTTGAATAGAATAAATGTGCCTTCAGCTAACAACAATCAACTACTTGTATCACATAAACTTTTAGGCATATTGGTACCAAACGCATGCATCATAAAAGTAGGCTTTGAATGTGATAAATGATAATACAACTATAAAAAAGTACTACTTTGGTGCAAAACTATCTGTGTATCACAAAAGGGGTTCTATGCTACTCCCTTTGCATCTGAATCCAACAAGTAAGCTCCTAGACCACTATCCCCTTAAGATGTATTTCACCAATGCCCCAAAGCATTTCCCTTTCTATAAATTGATTAACTCAGAAGATTTAAATATAAAATGCCAATACGATATTTTAATGATATATCATTAGGGACAAGTCTTCCACTCCCAGATTGGAGTAATCTAAATAAAAAAAAATTATGATGCACTAACGCTTGAGCTATATTATTTTCACGTGGTGCCAACATATCCAAACTTCAAGACACAAGTATATTAGATAGGAACTGTGACATACCTACCTTTAATCTTTGAGCAGCATCCAAAAATATTATCTCCTACAAATAATAAATCTCATAGTAAGAGAATGTTATGGGTGCATGAAGACTACCCAATTATAAGCCACGCCACCACAGAGAAAGATGCGTACCTTCAAGATTGTATCAGCAGCTTGTAACAAGAAAGAAATGATCATCAACAGACTCCAAAAGATACCAGCTCCCATCAGTGAATCAGCACCAGATCCACTGCAAAGCACGCAAAATATGTGAGCAGTAAATGTAACAATAATAAGGAATTAACTACAATGAGCATGTTTGGCTAAGCTTAAATGTAAGTTGAACTTATCTTTTGTAAATTTATGTTTTTAGCCCATAAGTTAATCTTTCCTACTTATTTCCAACTTTGACCAACAATTTTTTTTTATTTTTTATTTTTTTTAAATACTTACTTATTTTAGGGTTTGCCAAACATGAACAATGCCATATATTACTCTACTTAGATTATTGACCTATTAAAGAGCTGTTAAAATGAGATATGTCTTGTTATTCATGGCATCAATGTCTGAAAATAGATTATTGAACTATTAAAGTTTCCATACTCACCAAAAAAAGACTCAGCACCAAAATAAAAGCGGAAATCTTTATAAGATAATCCTCACCTTAAATTTGATAAACATATTCAAATTAAGTCAATTGAATTTTGGAACCTTCAAGTTTATCATGCAATGCATTTTTTCCGTCAATAACCTGTATTTTACAAGCTATCGATATTCTATAAATAGACATATAATTTGTCAACTTCTTTAAATAATATATTGGGCGTCTGTGTAAAAAGCAAACTACCTTGCCACAGTTATGATAACACCCACTGCCACAAGAAAGCATCCAAACAACTGGTTAAAACTATATCTCCTCCCAAGAAAGATATAAGAGAGAATAAGTTGCCAGACAAGAAAGCTCTGCAAAGATTACGAGATGACCAAATTAGGTCTGAAGCGCAGAATGAGAATATTATAGTTAGCAGAAAAAACACTTACACTATCGGTAAAAAACATCAATCAGTTTTAATGCAACTCCTTTTAATTCAAGAATTACATCGACTATGACCACAAAAGAAGAAAAAATCAACTATAGATTGTCGTTACCTGAGATAGAATAGGAATTGCTGCGCCAGAAAGAATAGCTGTTTCAATATGGAAAAACGGTGTAAGGAAAATCAGAACTGAATCTCTTAACAAAGATATGTAAATATGATGAAGTAAAACTGTTTCAAAAGTAACAAGATCTAATACAAAAATCATCCTCGCACTAAATTCAAGAGATATTACACAATAAATGGCTACTCCAAATCTCATAAAGACAAGACAAGCAATTTGGAATATAATGATCTGACTAAATAATAGAGTAAACCAGGAGAAGATAAATTCATGTTAGCAATACTTCACTTGCATGAACCAAATTTCCAAAATCAACTATAAATTCAACAGTTTTAAGAAAACTTACACGAGCCTTGAACCAGGCTTTTATCGAAATATATAAAACACATTTTTTCCCCTAATACAGGCATTGACAATGAATGCACGGTATAAGAAACATTATAGCAACATCAGTCAATAAACTTGCACTCGCCATTAGATTTTGCATTCCTAGACCGAACAGCTCCTCATCATTTGGTAGTAAGTACTTCAATCAATTATGTTGTAAGTCTGACTTTTCTCTCACCACCGCTGCTATTAAAATGATGTGACCATCTTTTTTATTTCTACAGTGTAAGAAATGAGTAGCAAAAAATAAAACATCATCCCGATGTGTATCATTTTATGAAGCCTTCTTATTGTTCTGCTTCGTGAGAGTTGTAAGAGTTCTGAAATGATAATATTGCTTTGGACTATGACAACATCCTGTTTTTCGATTCTTTCCCATTTGCAGAGATACAACTTCATATGGTTCAACAGATTTTTGCTTTGACAAAAACTTGTGTTTCATATTATATCTATTCATTAAAAAAAGTCAGAGGTCAGTAACTGTAATCTAAAACGTGTTGAGTTCAACACTCGACAAACAGAAAACTTTTAAGCCTACTTCAGTTAATAAAATGGTAAATTAACTTTTCGTGTTGATAAATTAACTTAAGAGTACGAAAACCCAAAATACTATTGTGAAGATTATCTTATCTTCTAGTCCAGAACAATAAGAAAAAGACGGAATAATGCCGTAAAACATCAAGAACGGATTACCTCCAGCTGCCATTCCAGATGCAGCTGCAAGAGCCTCCAACAGGCCTACAGCAACTAGTGGAAACTTGGGCAAAGATAACATTTCATCAGTGACTTTGCCAGCCTGATAACGGAGATACAAGATAGAGAAGTATACAACTATGTACCTGGAAAGAGATGTGTATGGACCACGGAATCAATAAAGAGGTAAAGTCATAAAGAATCAGCAACAGTAAGACTATCAAAAAAATGTGAAAGTTTGAAACCAGGGGTAGAGAGGATAATTTATCCCGCAATGTTGTGTTTCATTATGCTGGTGGCAATTGACATTTTCCAGAGAATGAAAAAGATAATATGCTAATTTATTTTAAAATAACTGACTAAACATATGAGCATAGCCGTTCTCATAAATATCAAGTTTTGGATCCTTGACTTGATAATAAATATTACAGTTGACCACATCTTCGAGGCAGAATGCATGTTCTCTGAGTTCTTATGGAATGGAAATAAGTGAATCACAGTATGGCTTAGCATCTACTCCCTTTCAGTGATGAATAATGATTCCGCAGACCTACCTCTTCCAACCACACCGTCATGGTTTGTGCTCAAACTCAAAAATAAATTAAGATAAATGTTAAAGGTTTATGTCGAATTGATATGCTTTTAGCATCTTCAAGTCTAGTATTCCATACTCTTAGCATAAACTTGCATTTGGATCACACTTTTTTTATGTGCACATTTCAAGAAAGAAATCCAAGCTCTTAAAGCGTGGATATGAAACATTTGCTTATGTTATCAATTTATACAGTATCGAGTCCAAAAATATAATAGCTATCAGGTCCTCGCATTAATTAATCTGATCTTGTATAGTATCAGAAGAAAACCTAACACATTGCGCAAGCATCATATCTAACGAGGATGTGAATCTTTTAAAGCTATTGGACAGAACTTTTTGCAAATTCTAGACATGCATTGGTACTATCCAGATGGACAATGAGATCAACCCCCAGGTGGCACGTTGTATCCACGCAACGACCTAGCTGCAATACTTTATGCAGATAAAAACGACATCAACGACTCAACACACAACAATAAAATCTTATTGAATCTTCAAACGATCGCCAATCATATCCAAACATGCAAAGGTGAAAATTTGACATTCATTTCCTGCGCTGCACCAAAATTTGCACTATTTTGTACCAAATCTTGCATCAAACCAAAATTCTTCACCAAACATTACACCAAAACGTACACCAAATGAATTTTATTCATTCTTTCGATTTTTGACAATATATTTATTTAAAAAAATTGTTTATTTATTTATTTTATAACTATATAAATTACTAAATCATAATTTCGTTAAATTAACAAATATATTGATTACTAAATTATTCACGTGTTTTATATATTATGTTAAATTGACAAAAATAATTGATTATATTATTAATTTATGATAAAAAATTACGTTAAATTTACAAAAATAATAAATTTTAATAATATAAACTTTGCGTTAAATTAAACTTTAAACGTAAACTTTACGAATTAAACTTTACGCTAAATTAACAATTACGTTAATTATTATTGATTATATTATTAAAAATAATAAACTTCAATAATATAATTAATAGTATAATTAATTATCATCATCATCATCATTATTATAGAACGAAAATGACGCAAATACCCTTAACCATTATCTTTGAAAAATGAAAAACAATGACAAAACGGACATTACACCATTTGGTAGGGCATGCATTGGAGATGCCCTTACCTTCTCCTTTTATCTGTAGAAGAAGGCTTTCAAATGGACAGCCTAAATCATCCTATAATGATCACAAATAACCGAATGAACTCCAGGTATTGTTACGCTACAGTCCTCTGATTTAATGAACTAAAATTCAAAATGACTGTAAAATGAGAGAGAGTCCAGGGCTGTTGGTATCTCCAACTCTTTTTCAAATGACTTACACCGCATGCAAAAACGGTCGTCCATCTCCTCTTAAGACCAAAGAAAAGAGACACAGAGGTTTCAATATCTTTCATTTCTTATCTGTCATTCATTAAAAAAGTTGTTCAATTGATATTTTCCAGGAGCCTGTGTTAGGCACATGAGTTCTGACTCTATGAGCTTGGTGGGATCACATGGTTACTGACTCTTGGATGCACAAGAAGGAAAATCTGAGGCTGTGGGATCCACCACTTGAGATCCAACACACTACCAGCGGTTCTCATTTTAATGGGACCCACCGATAAGTACTATATGGTGCGCACAAGAGCCTCATTTTTTTTATTGCAAAAACACTAAAAAACCATCCAGTTGGAAGAGAATAATGTCGATAGTAAACTGCCCTTTATGGCCTTATCAAGTCTTTACTGTTATAATGTATTTGGTTGAACATGCGAATACAGAAAAGAACTGCCGAAAGTAAATTAAGGAGAATAGAGGACCACATGCAATGAACAATGTCACTTGAGCGCCCCCAATCAGCGAGGAATTAGGCTGCAGTCTCCTCACATGAGAGGCCACCAAACCATGAATAAAAAGTCGATGGGCCCCGCATTGTGAGGGGGCTAACGCACACACCAGGCTTTGATAAAGTCACCTACCCTTTTAATAAAATCGTTCCTACTTGAAAGGACAAAGATTGTACCAGACCCAGTTTGAACAGTTATTTACTTTATACGTAAATATTATAGAATTTAGATAAAATATTAACAGTTGAGATAACTATTTTGTTTCAACGAGAAGCGAAAATCCAAAAAAATAAAAAATAAGTAGTTTTAAGAAATAGCATTTTTTTTTCTTTTTGAAAGGCTAAGAAATAACATTTTATTATAAAAATAAAAAGAAATATCAAAAGAAAGAAACGTAATAATTTTAAACTCGTCTTTCTTATATAAATAAATATCCTCCCATAGTTGGACATTTCAATTTCATATGTTAAACAAAAATTCCGTGACCTTTATTTATATGAAAAGACCGTTGGGGCCCGTGCACGTGGTCAAATTTTCCACGTCCAAGTTGTTTATTCGTGTACTTGGCAAAATCAATCTTCCTCTTCTTTTACATATCAATTGAACTAAAAAAAATTGCAACCTATTTGAAAGTATAAGAATTGATTAATTAGGTGTTTGAGAGCCATTTTTATGTTAAAAATGCATTTTAGAATGGTAACTTGACGAAAAGTGTGTGGTTGAAAAATAACGAAATTTTTTTTATTTACGTGTAATATTATTTTAATAAAGAATGTATGGTTGAAAAAAAGAGAAAGAAAAATGTATTTTGAAAAAAATGGATACCAAACGGGGCTAAAATAATTTTTCAAGAAACACTCGTATACAAATATTAAACAAAGCACAACTTTAAAACGTATGAAAGTATGAGTGTTGAAATAGACAAATATAATGTATTCAAATCAAAATTTTGGCGGCATCAAGGATTTATTTGCCTATAAATGTAAAAATTAAGGGTGACAATGAATCGAGTGAGCGTGATCCTTAGATTCAGAGATAAAACTCGACTCATGTCCACAAACTGGACTTGATTCGACCCTTTAACTCATGCCAAGACATGTCGGCTCATGGACCCTGACTCGTGATTCAACTCTATACACGGTCTCAAACAAGTCAAAGCCGTCCATGAGTCAATGGCTCGGCCAGTTTGTCGTCCAGGGAATGTTGAAATAAATCTAATTAATTTTTAAGTTCGAAATTTCTTCGAATTTCTATTGTTTGTGTGTGCCCCTTGAGCCAGATTAGAGAATGAAGTACGTGGAAGTGAATTGAGACTGTAAAAAGCAGTACCCGAAAGTGGCGAGTTGAGCGAGAAAGAATGGATATTGCTTCAGAGGGACTAACGCAAGCTTGTACAGCACCCGATTCCCTACGCCCAGCACCACCGTCGTCGCTGCCGCAACCACCACCTCCACCCTCCGATCACCGTCTTTACTCTTCTCTACCGCCACAGCCTCCTGATGTTCATGGTCGTACGCACAACAATTTGGTGGCTGGACCTTCCTCTTCACCTCCTCCTCGCCTGTTGATCTCAATCCTCTTACTCTCGTGGACCCTACCGCCGCCTCAATCACCCAATTCCTCGATTGTAAAACGCCCTGTTCTCCTACTCCCACTCCACCTCTGAACTGGAGCCGTGGACGGTCCATTTGTAGAATTACTGAGAGTCGACGCGGAATGTGATGAATCACAGCCGGCGTCGCGGCGGCTCCGGCTGTCATCCGGCGATAACTTGTTAACATCTCGTATATTACTAGTATATCTACTGTATGTGTATACAAATCAATTAGGATGCGAATTTCTCTGATTAAACATACAATTAATGCATGAAAAATTGTTGAAGAAAATCTGGACATGAAATAAATGGAGAAATAAACCGATTCATCTGTGTCGACTGTATATATTTGACCGGGAAAAACAAACAATTCGGATTGAGTTGTCAACGTCATAAAAGTTCGGATTTTTTTCTTAAAAAAAGGGACCTTTTTTTTTGTAATTTACTTTCCTGCACCCCCTTTTTTAATCATCATAAAGGGTCACCCCTTATGGGCCGTTTGAACCCCATTATTTGTAAATTATAATGAGGTAAATAGTATTTTTTTGAAAAGTAAGTGGTTGAAAAAATTTTTGATTTACGTGTAATATTATTTTATTAAAAATTGTGTGGTTAAATGTAGGAGAGAGAAAATTTTAATTTAATGTAATGAGAAATAATGGGACTCAAACGGGGGCTAAGATATGTTTGATGTAGATTTTTCATAGTAAATTTTTTATGAGAAATATTTGATTGAAAAAAAGGAAAAAAAAAAAAGAATTCACGTATAAATTATTTTATTAAGAGAATATATGATTGAAAAGAAATTAAGAAAAATGAGTTTTAAATAATTTGTACGAAGTAGGACTAATAATTTGTTTTGAAGGGATTATTTGAAGTGAAAAATGATTCTCATGACTAATAAGTAATTAAAATATGGAAAAAGATTATTGATTCACGTGTAAAATCATTTTATTAAAAAAATGTTGTGATTTTCAAATAAACTATGTCAAACAAATGCTAATAAACAATTGAAAAATATTTTTTGATGGATTATTCTCGAAGTACAAAAAGGGGAACATGAGGGCATCCAAAATGGAAATCCAACGACCCCTATTGGAGGGACGTCTGTGTGCCGCAGGCATCCCTAATCCATTTTGAACACCCTTATGTGAAGGGTTATGTACTCCTAGAATAATTCTTTTTTAATATATGCATAGTTATAAAAAAAAGAAAAGAAAAGAAAAACTAACTGAATCATCCAATTCATAAATTAAGTTCTTATTAAAAATTTGAATCATCCAATTAAGCCCCCATTTTGTGGAAATGAAAATGAGTGGAATAGTGTTTTTTGAAAAATGAGTGGTTGAAAAAAAAATTTCGATTTACAAGTAATCTTATTTTATAGAAGATTGTGTAATTGAAAATAGGAAAGAGAAAAATAAAATATAATGTAATAAAAATTAATAGGTACACATTCTGTTCGACGACTTTTTATTTTTATCTTAATTGCATGTTCATGCCTTGTAGGTTTGATTAAGCATCATTTAATGAAAGCAAGTAGTTAAAAACTTGTTTGCTATTCCATTTTAATAAAATCATAAGTACAAGAAAAATTTAATAGAACTTGTACTGTGCTGATGTGACAAAATGTAAGTGGACTATTTTTTCCCTTTTTCCATTTTTCAATGATGTCGTGCCATATGTTGTTTGTAAAGTTTTTTTGTCAAAAAATTATGTACTTGTAGTATGATTCAATTTCAAAACTATACATCTTAAATTATTCATCATAGTTAAATTGATTGATCATTGATATATAAAAATATATGTTAACTAATTAATGAGGAGAAATCTAAAAATATTGTTTAAAAAAAAAGAAAAAAAAATGAAGAGTCAATCTTCATGGGTGAGATGTTGGCAATGGGATGATCGATTTGGAGTCGAGTTGAGTGAGAGAAGTAAATGAACTTTACGTGTAAGAGAAAGGATAAATGATTTTGGGATCTAAATCGGAATAGAGAAATTATTATGGATAATTTCATTCATGTTTAAAAATGTCCATAGATGCAAAATTTTCAAATTTTAACCATTTTTCTAAACGAGGTACCAAAATTTAACATTTCACACAATTTCCTCCTGATCTCTCTTTCTATTACACTGCTTTCCTAAAGAACCATATGGTCCACTTGACATAACTTTTGAAAAGTAAAAAAGAGTTTTTAAGATCCAAAAATTGTTTTTGGACCAATTTGATTAAGGGGACGTTTGTTTTCCATTTGGGTAAAAATAAGAATGAAAAATATAATTATTATGGATTCCACACAAAACATAGAAATCCAAATTTGGTGACTTGATGTGATGAATAACGGTTATATTTTTCATTTTAATGGGAAAAAAATGAGAAATAAACAGGAGCTAATTTTACAAAAAGTTTTTATTTCATTTAAAAGAGTTTTTAGAGGAAATCGGTTCAATGTAACTTTCTCTAAAAGTATTTTAGAGATAAGAAGCTTTTTTTAAAAAATATTTTTTAAATAAAAATTGGGATAACTTTCTTCAAAATTTCTTTTATAATACTGCTCAACCCCCGAGCAGTATGGCCATGATTTTGTATAGTGCCGATGTTATGAGGCCCACAGTTCACGGGCCTTGGATCGTTTGGGCAAAAAAAACAAATGTTTTTTTTTATTTTTTCCCTTATGCTTACTGTAAGAATAATATATTTTAAACGGAGAGGTAAAGACTATGTCCCCGTTTGAATCTCATTACATTAAATTCCATTGCATTCTATTTTCTCTATCATATTTTGAACTACACAATATTTCATAAAATAATATTACATTTAAATCGAAAAATTTTCCTTCTTTTTCAATCATCAATTTTCAAAAAAATATTAAGCACCCATTTTCGTTTTCAAAACATGGGAGCCAAACGGGGGCTATGCACACAAACAAGCATTGGTAGAAGCAAGATTTTCATGTACGGAGCAAATTATTGTCAAAGGGACAAAATAGAGATGTGCACCTTATAATTTTGTTTAATGTTTATTCATTTAGGGTTTGTTCGACACAACTTATTTAGAAAATTATTTTCTCTCAAACTCAACCCATGTTTGAATATGATTTCTTAAAATTTATTTTTATCAAACTTAATCTTGATCAGACATTTCAAGGATTAATAACTTACGTTGATTTTTTATCACACATTTTTTCAATTTTTATCAAAATTGAACAAGAATTGATTTTCAACATAACATATTGTCAGCCGTATACCCTCGAAAATAATCATTTTTAACTTTAAATAATTTCTCCAAACAAAATTAGAATTTCAATTTGAGTACTACAATAGCTCAAATTAAAGTTGAACTAGTAATTCGCAGGTAGTTTGCTTGAGCCAATGACCTAATCGAACTTCACAACTATGCTACCCAATAGATATATAGCCCTTATTTTTTAATTTTTTTTTCCTAAAAAATAGTTTTTCTTTTTACTTATTTTCAACAACACATTATTTTAATAAAATAATTCGTAAATTTATACTTTTTTTTCTTACTCTTTAATATAATTTTTTTTTTTTATCATTTATAGCATAATCATTTTTTCAAAAAATAAAAGAGGGCATAATAATAAAAAAATTAATCGGGAATCGAAATACCTAAAAATTGTTTTACCGGGAATTGCTAATTATTGTGTTTCATTAGTATAATTTTTCAAATGAAAAATGTTGAAATAAAAGTTTTTTTTTTTTTTTTTATGTTCGTTTGGTTTTGTTTTATAAGAAAATTATCAATTAAAGGGATATAATTAACTGGTATTGGAAATAAATTTTGTTTCTATTGCCAAAAAAAAAATAATAATAAGAAAATTATCTATCTTTTAGTATTTGTTTAACTTTATTTTATATAAAAATTGTTAATTAAAGGGAAATATTTTTTTTTAAAATAATTCTTAGAATTTGTTTTCATTGCCAACAAAAAAAACAAAAAATAAATAAATTACGCTACAGTGACTGGAATTGAAATTCTCACCATATTCTAGGAAAACCTAGAAAATTGCTTATGTGGCAAGAAACTTGGAAATGAAATTCTAGGGGGGGGGGGGGGGGGGAGAAGTGAAGTTGACTGAATGGAATACCCCATAAGTTTGACAAGAAGGGTATCAGGAGGCATATGAAAATTGCCTGTACATGTATTAAAGGAGTTTTCAGGCTCTCGGTGAAATTTAAGTACGCTATAAAACCACAATTTCAAAGAGCATTAAAAAGCTTAATATCTAACCTGGTAAGCAGATCCAAAAGAGTTTATAACAAATAGATCGACGCTACCTCCCTGTCATAGCAGCCACAAATATATCCAAAGTTATTGTTTCATCTTGAAACCATATGAAGTTAAAACTAAAATTTATTTGACATTTACATGAGATCATCCTAAATAGACTTTTGGTATCTATGATAAACTCTACATATCCCATGATTTGTACAAGGACCGAGCAAATGTCATGTAACCATGTCGTGGGTCCCACATGTTCAAATGATATGGTAGTACTTTATCATTCATTATATACTAAAGTGAGGTCCAAACAAAATCAAATGATAAACAACTCGCATTAACTCAATTAATAATTTTCTGAAGATACAAGAGTAGGCTTTGAACTTGATTTAATACATTGGGAAGTTGAATAGAATAAATGTGCCTTCAGCTAACAACAATCAACTACTTGTATCACATAAACTTTTAGGCATATTGGTACCAAACGCATGCATCATAAAAGTAGGCTTTGAATGTGATAAATGATAATACAACTATAAAAAAGTACTACTTTGGTGCAAAACTATCTGTGTATCACAAAAGGGGTTCTATGCTACTCCCTTTGCATCTGAATCCAACAAGTAAGCTCCTAGACCACTATCCCCTTAAGATGTATTTCACCAATGCCCCAAAGCATTTCCCTTTCTATAAATTGATTAACTCAGAAGATTTAAATATAAAATGCCAATACGATATTTTAATGATATATCATTAGGGACAAGTCTTCCACTCCCAGATTGGAGTAATCTAAATAAAAAAAAATTATGATGCACTAACGCTTGAGCTATATTATTTTCACGTGGTGCCAACATATCCAAACTTCAAGACACAAGTATATTAGATAGGAACTGTGACATACCTACCTTTAATCTTTGAGCAGCATCCAAAAATATTATCTCCTACAAATAATAAATCTCATAGTAAGAGAATGTTATGGGTGCATGAAGACTACCCAATTATAAGCCACGCCACCACAGAGAAAGATGCGTACCTTCAAGATTGTATCAGCAGCTTGTAACAAGAAAGAAATGATCATCAACAGACTCCAAAAGATACCAGCTCCCATCAGTGAATCAGCACCAGATCCACTGCAAAGCACGCAAAATATGTGAGCAGTAAATGTAACAATAATAAGGAATTAACTACAATGAGCATGTTTGGCTAAGCTTAAATGTAAGTTGAACTTATCTTTTGTAAATTTATGTTTTTAGCCCATAAGTTAATCTTTCCTACTTATTTCCAACTTTGACCAACAATTTTTTTTTATTTTTTATTTTTTTTAAATACTTACTTATTTTAGGGTTTGCCAAACATGAACAATGCCATATATTACTCTACTTAGATTATTGACCTATTAAAGAGCTGTTAAAATGAGATATGTCTTGTTATTCATGGCATCAATGTCTGAAAATAGATTATTGAACTATTAAAGTTTCCATACTCACCAAAAAAAGACTCAGCACCAAAATAAAAGCGGAAATCTTTATAAGATAATCCTCACCTTAAATTTGATAAACATATTCAAATTAAGTCAATTGAATTTTGGAACCTTCAAGTTTATCATGCAATGCATTTTTTCCGTCAATAACCTGTATTTTACAAGCTATCGATATTCTATAAATAGACATATAATTTGTCAACTTCTTTAAATAATATATTGGGCGTCTGTGTAAAAAGCAAACTACCTTGCCACAGTTATGATAACACCCACTGCCACAAGAAAGCATCCAAACAACTGGTTAAAACTATATCTCCTCCCAAGAAAGATATAAGAGAGAATAAGTTGCCAGACAAGAAAGCTCTGCAAAGATTACGAGATGACCAAATTAGGTCTGAAGCGCAGAATGAGAATATTATAGTTAGCAGAAAAAACACTTACACTATCGGTAAAAAACATCAATCAGTTTTAATGCAACTCCTTTTAATTCAAGAATTACATCGACTATGACCACAAAAGAAGAAAAAATCAACTATAGATTGTCGTTACCTGAGATAGAATAGGAATTGCTGCGCCAGAAAGAATAGCTGTTTCAATATGGAAAAACGGTGTAAGGAAAATCAGAACTGAATCTCTTAACAAAGATATGTAAATATGATGAAGTAAAACTGTTTCAAAAGTAACAAGATCTAATACAAAAATCATCCTCGCACTAAATTCAAGAGATATTACACAATAAATGGCTACTCCAAATCTCATAAAGACAAGACAAGCAATTTGGAATATAATGATCTGACTAAATAATAGAGTAAACCAGGAGAAGATAAATTCATGTTAGCAATACTTCACTTGCATGAACCAAATTTCCAAAATCAACTATAAATTCAACAGTTTTAAGAAAACTTACACGAGCCTTGAACCAGGCTTTTATCGAAATATATAAAACACATTTTTTCCCCTAATACAGGCATTGACAATGAATGCACGGTATAAGAAACATTATAGCAACATCAGTCAATAAACTTGCACTCGCCATTAGATTTTGCATTCCTAGACCGAACAGCTCCTCATCATTTGGTAGTAAGTACTTCAATCAATTATGTTGTAAGTCTGACTTTTCTCTCACCACCGCTGCTATTAAAATGATGTGACCATCTTTTTTATTTCTACAGTGTAAGAAATGAGTAGCAAAAAATAAAACATCATCCCGATGTGTATCATTTTATGAAGCCTTCTTATTGTTCTGCTTCGTGAGAGTTGTAAGAGTTCTGAAATGATAATATTGCTTTGGACTATGACAACATCCTGTTTTTCGATTCTTTCCCATTTGCAGAGATACAACTTCATATGGTTCAACAGATTTTTGCTTTGACAAAAACTTGTGTTTCATATTATATCTATTCATTAAAAAAAGTCAGAGGTCAGTAACTGTAATCTAAAACGTGTTGAGTTCAACACTCGACAAACAGAAAACTTTTAAGCCTACTTCAGTTAATAAAATGGTAAATTAACTTTTCGTGTTGATAAATTAACTTAAGAGTACGAAAACCCAAAATACTATTGTGAAGATTATCTTATCTTCTAGTCCAGAACAATAAGAAAAAGACGGAATAATGCCGTAAAACATCAAGAACGGATTACCTCCAGCTGCCATTCCAGATGCAGCTGCAAGAGCCTCCAACAGGCCTACAGCAACTAGTGGAAACTTGGGCAAAGATAACATTTCATCAGTGACTTTGCCAGCCTGATAACGGAGATACAAGATAGAGAAGTATACAACTATGTACCTGGAAAGAGATGTGTATGGACCACGGAATCAATAAAGAGGTAAAGTCATAAAGAATCAGCAACAGTAAGACTATCAAAAAAATGTGAAAGTTTGAAACCAGGGGTAGAGAGGATAATTTATCCCGCAATGTTGTGTTTCATTATGCTGGTGGCAATTGACATTTTCCAGAGAATGAAAAAGATAATATGCTAATTTATTTTAAAATAACTGACTAAACATATGAGCATAGCCGTTCTCATAAATATCAAGTTTTGGATCCTTGACTTGATAATAAATATTACAGTTGACCACATCTTCGAGGCAGAATGCATGTTCTCTGAGTTCTTATGGAATGGAAATAAGTGAATCACAGTATGGCTTAGCATCTACTCCCTTTCAGTGATGAATAATGATTCCGCAGACCTACCTCTTCCAACCACACCGTCATGGTTTGTGCTCAAACTCAAAAATAAATTAAGATAAATGTTAAAGGTTTATGTCGAATTGATATGCTTTTAGCATCTTCAAGTCTAGTATTCCATACTCTTAGCATAAACTTGCATTTGGATCACACTTTTTTTATGTGCACATTTCAAGAAAGAAATCCAAGCTCTTAAAGCGTGGATATGAAACATTTGCTTATGTTATCAATTTATACAGTATCGAGTCCAAAAATATAATAGCTATCAGGTCCTCGCATTAATTAATCTGATCTTGTATAGTATCAGAAGAAAACCTAACACATTGCGCAAGCATCATATCTAACGAGGATGTGAATCTTTTAAAGCTATTGGACAGAACTTTTTGCAAATTCTAGACATGCATTGGTACTATCCAGATGGACAATGAGATCAACCCCCAGGTGGCACGTTGTATCCACGCAACGACCTAGCTGCAATACTTTATGCAGATAAAAACGACATCAACGACTCAACACACAACAATAAAATCTTATTGAATCTTCAAACGATCGCCAATCATATCCAAACATGCAAAGGTGAAAATTTGACATTCATTTCCTGCGCTGCACCAAAATTTGCACTATTTTGTACCAAATCTTGCATCAAACCAAAATTCTTCACCAAACATTACACCAAAACGTACACCAAATGAATTTTATTCATTCTTTCGATTTTTGACAATATATTTATTTAAAAAAATTGTTTATTTATTTATTTTATAACTATATAAATTACTAAATCATAATTTCGTTAAATTAACAAATATATTGATTACTAAATTATTCACGTGTTTTATATATTATGTTAAATTGACAAAAATAATTGATTATATTATTAATTTATGATAAAAAATTACGTTAAATTTACAAAAATAATAAATTTTAATAATATAAACTTTGCGTTAAATTAAACTTTAAACGTAAACTTTACGAATTAAACTTTACGCTAAATTAACAATTACGTTAATTATTATTGATTATATTATTAAAAATAATAAACTTCAATAATATAATTAATAGTATAATTAATTATCATCATCATCATCATTATTATAGAACGAAAATGACGCAAATACCCTTAACCATTATCTTTGAAAAATGAAAAACAAGGACAAAACGGACATTACACCATTTGGTTGGGCATGCATTGGAGATGCCCTTACCTTCTCCTTTTATCTGTAGAAGAAGGCTTTCAAATGGACAGCCTAAATCATCCTATAATGATCACAAATAACCGAATGAACTCCAGGTATTGTTACGCTACAGTCCTCTGATTTAATGAACTAAAATTCAAAATGACTGTAAAATGAGAGAGAGTCCAGGGCTGTTGGTATCTCCAACTCTTTTTCAAATGACTTACACCGCATGCAAAAACGGTCGTCCATCTCCTCTTAAGACCAAAGAAAAGAGACACAGAGGTTTCAATATCTTTCATTTCTTATCTGTCATTCATTAAAAAAGTTGTTCAATTGATATTTTCCAGGAGCCTGTGTTAGGCACATGAGTTCTGACTCTATGAGCTTGGTGGGATCACATGGTTACTGACTCTTGGATGCACAAGAAGGAAAATCTGAGGCTGTGGGATCCACCACTTGAGATCCAACACACTACCAGCGGTTCTCATTTTAATGGGACCCACCGATAAGTACTATATGGTGCGCACAAGAGCCTCATTTTTTTTATTGCAAAAACACTAAAAAACCATCCAGTTGGAAGAGAATAATGTCGATAGTAAACTGCCCTTTATGGCCTTATCAAGTCTTTACTGTTATAATGTATTTGGTTGAACATGCGAATACAGAAAGGACAATATTTGGTTGTACCAGACCCAGTTTGAACAGTTATTTACTTTATACGTAAATATTATAGAATTTAGATAAAATATTAACAGTTGAGATAACTATTTTGTTTCAACGAGAAGCGAAAATCCAAAAAAATAAAAAATAATTAGTTTTAAGAAATAGCATTTTTTTTTCTTTTTGAAAGGCTAAGAAATAACATTTTATTATAAAAATAAAAAGAAATATCAAAAAGAACTGCCGAAAGTAAATTAAGGAGAATAGAGGACCACATGCAATGAACAATGTCACTTGAGCGCCCCCAATCAGCGAGGAATTAGGCTGCAGTCTCCTCACATGAGAGGCCACCAAACCATGAATAAAAAGTCGATGGGCCCCGCATTGTGAGGGGGCTAACGCACACACCAGGCTTTGATAAAGTCACCTACCCTTTTAATAAAATCGTTCCTACTTGAAAGGACAAAGATTGTACCAGACCCAGTTTGAACAGTTATTTACTTTATACGTAAATATTATAGAATTTAGATAAAATATTAACAGTTGAGATAACTATTTTGTTTCAACGAGAAGCGAAAATCCAAAAAAATAAAAAATAAGTAGTTTTAAGAAATAGCATTTTTTTTTCTTTTTGAAAGGCTAAGAAATAACATTTTATTATAAAAATAAAAAGAAATATCAAAAGAAAGAAACGTAATAATTTTAAACTCGTCTTTCTTATATAAATAAATATCCTCCCATAGTTGGACATTTCAATTTCATATGTTAAACAAAAATTCCGTGACCTTTATTTATATGAAAAGACCGTTGGGGCCGGTGCACGTGGTCAAATTTTCCACGTCCAAGTTGTTTATTCGTGTACTTGGCAAAATCAATCTTCCTCTTCTTTTACATATCAATTGAACTAAAAAAAATTGCAACCTATTTGAAAGTATAAGAATTGATTAATTAGGTGTTTGAGAGCCATTTTTATGTTAAAAATGCATTTTAGAATGGTAACTTGACGAAAAGTGTGTGGTTGAAAAATAACGAAATTTTTTTTATTTACGTGTAATATTATTTTAATAAAGAATGTATGGTTGAAAAAAAGAGAAAGAAAAATGTATTTTGAAAAAAATGGATACCAAACGGGGCTAAAATAATTTTTCAAGAAACACTCGTATACAAATATTAAACAAAGCACAACTTTAAAACGTATGAAAGTATGAGTGTTGAAATAGACAAATATAATGTATTCAAATCAAAATTTTGGCGGCATCAAGGATTTATTTGCCTATAAATGTAAAAATTAAGGGTGACAATGAATCGAGTGAGCGTGATCCTTAGATTCAGAGATAAAACTCGACTCATGTCCACAAACTGGACTTGATTCGACCCTTTAACTCATGCCAAGACATGTCGGCTCATGGACCCTGACTCGTGATTCAACTCTATACACGGTCTCAAACAAGTCAAAGCCGTCCATGAGTCAATGGCTCGGCCAGTTTGTCGTCCAGGGAATGTTGAAATAAATCTAATTAATTTTTAAGTTCGAAATTTCTTCGAATTTCTATTGTTTGTGTGTGCCCCTTGAGCCAGATTAGAGAATGAAGTACGTGGAAGTGAATTGAGACTGTAAAAAGCAGTACCCGAAAGTGGCGAGTTGAGCGAGAAAGAATGGATATTGCTTCAGAGGGACTAACGCAAGCTTGTACAGCACCCGATTCCCTACGCCCAGCACCACCGTCGTCGCTGCCGCAACCACCACCTCCACCCTCCGATCACCGTCTTTACTCTTCTCTACCGCCACAGCCTCCTGATGTTCATGGTCGTACGCACAACAATTTGGTGGCTGGACCTTCCTCTTCACCTCCTCCTCGCCTGTTGATCTCAATCCTCTTACTCTCGTGGACCCTACCGCCGCCTCAATCACCCAATTCCTCGATTGTAAAACGCCCTGTTCTCCTACTCCCACTCCACCTCTGAACTGGAGCCGTGGACGGTCCATTTGTAGAATTACTGAGAGTCGACGCGGAATGTGATGAATCACAGCCGGCGTCGCGGCGGCTCCGGCTGTCATCCGGCGATAACTTGTTAACATCTCGTATATTACTAGTATATCTACTGTATGTGTATACAAATCAATTAGGATGCGAATTTCTCTGATTAAACATACAATTAATGCATGAAAAATTGTTGAAGAAAATCTGGACATGAAATAAATGGAGAAATAAACCGATTCATCTGTGTCGACTGTATATATTTGACCGGGAAAAACAAACAATTCGGATTGAGTTGTCAACGTCATAAAAGTTCGGATTTTTTTCTTAAAAAAAGGGACCTTTTTTTTTGTAATTTACTTTCCTGCACCCCCTTTTTTAATCATCATAAAGGGTCACCCCTTATGGGCCGTTTGAACCCCATTATTTGTAAATTATAATGAGGTAAATAGTATTTTTTTGAAAAGTAAGTGGTTGAAAAAATTTTTGATTTACGTGTAATATTATTTTATTAAAAATTGTGTGGTTAAATGTAGGAGAGAGAAAATTTTAATTTAATGTAATGAGAAATAATGGGACTCAAACGGGGGCTAAGATATGTTTGATGTAGATTTTTCATAGTAAATTTTTTATGAGAAATATTTGATTGAAAAAAAGGAAAAAAAAAAAAGAATTCACGTATAAATTATTTTATTAAGAGAATATATGATTGAAAAGAAATTAAGAAAAATGAGTTTTAAATAATTTGTACGAAGTAGGACTAATAATTTGTTTTGAAGGGATTATTTGAAGTGAAAAATGATTCTCATGACTAATAAGTAATTAAAATATGGAAAAAGATTATTGATTCACGTGTAAAATCATTTTATTAAAAAAATGTTGTGATTTTCAAATAAACTATGTCAAACAAATGCTAATAAACAATTGAAAAATATTTTTTGATGGATTATTCTCGAGGTACAAAAAGGGGAACATGAGGGCATCCAAAATGGAAATCCAACGACCCCTATTGGAGGGACGTCTGTGTGCCGCAGGCATCCCTAATCCATTTTGAACACCCTTATGTGAAGGGTTATGTACTCCTAGAACAATTCTTTTTTAATATATGCATAGTTATAAAAAAAAGAAAAGAAAAGAAAAACTAACTGAATCATCCAATTCATAAATTAAGTTCTTATTAAAAATTTGAATCATCCAATTAAGCCCCCATTTTGTGGAAATGAAAATGAGTGGAATAGTGTTTTTTGAAAAATGAGTGGTTGAAAAAAAAATTTCGATTTACAAGTAATCTTATTTTATAGAAGATTGTGTAATTGAAAATAGGAAAGAGAAAAATAAAATATAATGTAATAAAAATTAATAGGTACACATTCTGTTCGACGACTTTTTATTTTTATCTTAATTGCATGTTCATGCCTTGTAGGTTTGATTAAGCATCATTTAATGAAAGCAAGTAGTTAAAAACTTGTTTGCTATTCCATTTTAATAAAATCATAAGTACAAGAAAAATTTAATAGAACTTGTACTGTGCTGATGTGACAAAATGTAAGTGGACTATTTTTTCCCTTTTTCCATTTTTCAATGATGTCGTGCCATATGTTGTTTGTAAAGTTTTTTTGTCAAAAAATTATGTACTTGTAGTATGATTCAATTTCAAAACTATACATCTTAAATTATTCATCATAGTTAAATTGATTGATCATTGATATATAAAAATATATGTTAACTAATTAATGAGGAGAAATCTAAAAATATTGTTTAAAAAAAAAGAAAAAAAAATGAAGAGTCAATCTTCATGGGTGAGATGTTGGCAATGGGATGATCGATTTGGAGTCGAGTTGAGTGAGAGAAGTAAATGAACTTTACGTGTAAGAGAAAGGATAAATGATTTTGGGATCTAAATCGGAATAGAGAAATTATTATGGATAATTTCATTCATGTTTAAAAATGTCCATAGATGCAAAATTTTCAAATTTTAACCATTTTTCTAAACGAGGTACCAAAATTTAACATTTCACACAATTTCCTCCTGATCTCTCTTTCTATTACACTGCTTTCCTAAAGAACCATATGGTCCACTTGACATAACTTTTGAAAAGTAAAAAAGAGTTTTTAAGATCCAAAAATTGTTTTTGGACCAATTTGATTAAGGGGACGTTTGTTTTCCATTTGGGTAAAAATAAGAATGAAAAATATAATTATTATGGATTCCACACAAAACATAGAAATCCAAATTTGGTGACTTGATGTGATGAATAACGGTTATATTTTTCATTTTAATGGGAAAAAAATGAGAAATAAACAGGAGCTAATTTTACAAAAAGTTTTTATTTCATTTAAAAGAGTTTTTAGAGGAAATCGGTTCAATGTAACTTTCTCTAAAAGTATTTTAGAGATAAGAAGCTTTTTTTAAAAAATATTTTTTAAATAAAAATTGGGATAACTTTCTTCAAAATTTCTTTTATAATACTGCTCAACCCCCGAGCAGTATGGCCATGATTTTGTATAGTGCCGATGTTATGAGGCCCACAGTTCACGGGCCTTGGATCGTTTGGGCAAAAAAAACAAATGTTTTTTTTTATTTTTTCCCTTATGCTTACTGTAAGAATAATATATTTTAAACGGAGAGGTAAAGACTATGTCCCCGTTTGAATCTCATTACATTAAATTCCATTGCATTCTATTTTCTCTATCATATTTTGAACTACACAATATTTCATAAAATAATATTACATTTAAATCGAAAAATTTTCCTTCTTTTTCAATCATCAATTTTCAAAAAAATATTAAGCACCCATTTTCGTTTTCAAAACATGGGAGCCAAACGGGGGCTATGCACACAAACAAGCATTGGTAGAAGCAAGATTTTCATGTACGGAGCAAATTATTGTCAAAGGGACAAAATAGAGATGTGCACCTTATAATTTTGTTTAATGTTTATTCATTTAGGGTTTGTTCGACACAACTTATTTAGAAAATTATTTTCTCTCAAACTCAACCCATGTTTGAATATGATTTCTTAAAATTTATTTTTATCAAACTTAATCTTGATCAGACATTTCAAGGATTAATAACTTACGTTGATTTTTTATCACACATTTTTTCAATTTTTATCAAAATTGAACAAGAATTGATTTTCAACATAACATATTGTCAGCCGTATACCCTCGAAAATAATCATTTTTAACTTTAAATAATTTCTCCAAACAAAATTAGAATTTCAATTTGAGTACTACAATAGCTCAAATTAAAGTTGAACTAGTAATTCGCAGGTAGTTTGCTTGAGCCAATGACCTAATCGAACTTCACAACTATGCTATCCAATAGATATATAGCCCTTATTTTTTAATTTTTTTTTCCTAAAAAATAGTTTTTCTTTTTACTTATTTTCAACAACACATTATTTTAATAAAATAATTCGTAAATTTATACTTTTTTTTCTTACTCTTTAATATAATTTTTTTTTTTTATCATTTATAGCATAATCATTTTTTCAAAAAATAAAAGAGGGCATAATAATAAAAAAATTAATCGGGAATCGAAATACCTAAAAATTGTTTTACCGGGAATTGCTAATTATTGTGTTTCATTAGTATAATTTTTCAAATGAAAAATGTTGAAATAAAAGTTTTTTTTTTTTTTTTTATGTTCGTTTGGTTTTGTTTTATAAGAAAATTATCAATTAAAGGGATATAATTAACTGGTATTGGAAATAAATTTTGTTTCTATTGCCAAAAAAAAAGAAGCAAGAAAATCATTTATCTTTTAGCGTTCGTTTGGCTTTATTTTACATGAAAATTATCAATATATATTTTTTTATAATTAGGGATAGAATTTGTTTCCAAAAAAAAAAAAAAAACCAAACGTAAACAGTACCCTTGAAAACCAATAAAATTCTAATTTTCAAGAAAAGCAAGAAAATTAAATTCTATGTAAAATTTTGTTATCAAACACCACAAAATGGGTGAAAAATTTTCCAAGAAATTTGTCCTATCAAATATGGCCTTAGTGCTAAGCATATGTGGAATGATAATGCTTTAGAGCTTGTTTGGGAGTGATTTTGAGAATTGATTTTTTGATCGTTAGAAAAAAAGTGAGATCCACCTATGAGAGAAGAAGTCAAATATAACGGTTGAAATAGTGAAATAACGATCAAAAAATTAATTTTTTGGGAGGAAAAATCGCTCCCAAACAACCCTTTAGTAAAACACTGAAAATTTTATATTATTGGGTAAACTTTTTGATTTCAACGTAACTATTTTTATCTCATAGACTCATATGATAAAAGTGTTGCGTTTTTTGTACATAATAATTTTATAATTAATTAAAATTCGATTTTATGACTAGAAGTAGAAGTATAATTTTCATTCGTTTCAATTGGATTCGAATGATCTAGAATACCTTAAATGCAAGTCATGTGACATCAGAAAATTCTTTTGGGTTAAAGTAAACGTCAAGAAATAAGAATGAATCACGTGGAACCACCCCCTGTAATGTACTGACAAAGATGTGAAAACAAGAGAATGTGGAAAGGCCGCTCTGGTTGGTTCGTCAGATTCATCCGTCCCCTTTGTTTACCTTGTAAAAGTAAAATAAAGCAGAAAAAGAAAAAGCTCAGTTTTTGTCGTTCATCAATCTACATTATACATATCTCAGTCTATTTTTTTGCCGGAAATTTGCTCTCTGATCAGTTTGCACTCAGTCTTCTGAGGTGTTAATTCAACCGTAATAAAGCAAAATAAAAAATAAAAAATGTCGGCTTCTCTTGCCACATTTGAACGCTCTCGTATTGGAAATTCAAACACTGTAAGCTTTTGGCTCTTCTTTTTTAGGAAAATCCCGTATTCAGTTATTTTTTCTGTTTCTAATGTTTCACATTTTATATTTTTCACGCGGGAAAGGAAAAGGATTGAGAAAAAGTTGGGTCTTTGTCAAGTCAAGTATAGACTCTATAGTCATATAATTGTCAAATAAACTTGTAATTTGTCACTTTGAAGTTTCATGATTTTTAGTTTTTTTTGTTTTTTTGAATTTTCTTCATAAAAATTGTTATTTATTGTAATTAACGGGATCAATTTGTTGTGTAATTATTCTTCTGGTCTGTAATTTATCTCGATTATTATTAAATTGTGAGGATTTACAGATTTTCAAGAGCGGGCATCTTCTCATATCTTCCAAAGGTCAGTGCTTTTGGTCCTGCAAATAAGATATTGTAGATGTCAAGCGTGAATAGAGTGTTAACTTTGAATTTGCAAATTTTTGCTCAGGGGAGTGTGACTGTGTGGTGTGCCACATTGGCATTTGATGACTTATTCATGGAATTTGGTAGGATTTAAGTTCAAGTGGTTTGACATTTACTATGTATAGCAAATGCTTAAATTTTAATGAATTATGCTATTTGTAAAAAAATAAAAAAATAAAAAAATAAAAAAAAATACAGCTTTTTTGACATTGTATGAAGTGTAAGAATATGTACCATTTGATTATTTTAATTGTTGTTAAAATCAATGACAATAACACATTGTCCATATTAGATACTGTCAACAAAATTGTGAAGCAAAATGTAACTCTAGCAGCATTGAATTTTAATTTACAAAAAACTTACACAAGCGCTCATGCTAGTACATGACTGAGTTGCTAGTTCGGTTGGATTTAGTTTATACACGCTCCTGTCTTTGTAGAATTGGAAACAAAAATGTTATATTACTCTTGTCGTTATCAGTGTTGGTCTTGTTATGTGTTCATGTACCTCAATTTCTTTCAGGATTAGGTTGGAATACTTGGAAGAAGCGATGGTTTATCCTTACACGTACTTCTTTGGTTTTCTTCAAGAATGATCCGGTTGGTTTACAAGTGTGCCTTGGGTTTTTATCCTTTGATATATTGACACGGTGAATTTGTATTTCAGTATCTTAACTGCTGATTTCATGTTATTAAGCTATTAATACTTTTGGGTCAGTCTTGTATCAAGTTCGTTGTGTAGTCTTCACTTATGATATTTTCGATTGAATATCACAACTTTGCCTTCTCTCTCTCTTTCAGAATTTACTTCAGCAGCGAGGGGGTGAAGTAAATCTGACTCTTGGGGGCATTGATTTAAATAATTCAGGGAGGTATGAACCAATAGCACATGCTCATTACCTCTTTATGGGCAAGTGCCTGTGTTTTTAAGTCTCCCTCCTTGTGTGTCTCGAGCTTTTCTCTGCATGTCCTGCAATTTCTTGGTATTTTCTTGTGTGCAGTGTTGTTGTTCGAGAAGATAAGAAGCTTATCAATGTTTTGTTTCCTGATGGACGTGATGGGCGAGCATTTACTCTTAAGGTAGATGCTGGATTAGATATTCTCTCTTTTCCCTTTACGTTTTAAATTCTTCCTGTATTTTGTTATTTGGTAATTAGCTACTTTTTATTTTTTTATTTTCAGGCAGAGACATCCGAGGATTTGTATGAGTGGAAGACAGCCCTTGAATATGCTCTTGCACAAGCACCAAGTGCTGCTCTTGTGATGGGACATAATGGGATATTTAGGAGTGACACTAATGAAACAATTGAAGGGTCTTTTCCTCAATGTTCGTACATTGTTTTTTGATACAGATTTCTTCCCTTCACTAACTCCATGTAAACTATACCTGCTTAATGTGGAAATCCTTTTGGATGCAGGGAGAGATAAACGTGTGGCTAAGTCATTGGTAGTTGGACGGCCAATTTTGCTCGCATTAGAAGATATAGATGGAGGCCCATCCTTTCTTGAAAAAGCACTTCGATTTCTCGAGAAGTATGGTAAGTTGCTGTATTGCAATTTGTACTCTGGTCCAGAAAATCAATTCAAAATGGTGTCTGAAGCCATTTCATTCTTTTAGTGTTTGCCTATGTCCGCTACATCACCTTTGAATTAGTTAAAAACTGATAACCTGAGAGTAATTTATATGTTTACCTGATAAAAAAGCTTGATTACTTTTTGGCTTTCATATTTTTGAACTATTTTTTTCTAAATGTGCTTTCAATTTTTTATTACTCTGTATACCCTTTATTACGTATTACATGTAACTTTAAATTGCTTGATTTATTGTACCAGTTTTGAAGTAAAATGCTAAAATATGTATCACAATACGGAAATGGCACTAAGCCGATTAAAGGCTACAAGACTGCATCAAATGTTTAAAAAGGTGTAACTGGCTGCTGAGGCATTTTTCCATCTTGAGGCGAGGCTAACACTAAAAGAATTAAAAAAAAGTACCAAAATAAATCTGTAATAATAATCTTGGAATCATTTAATAAAATATTTAAAATGTGTTTATTAACTCTTTTCCCACTTCGTATACATCGCCACACTACTTTATGAATTCTGATAGCTGATAGAAGATCAAGTGGGGCATTTAGTCATGGCGAACCGTGCTAAGTTTAATCCAGGATTACAATTTTCCAATTATTATCTCAAAAAACTACAAATGCAAGATTTCTTTTAGGCTTCCTTCAGTGTGCATATTCTGATTGTAGACTACTTCTTTCAGGAGTTAAAGTAGAAGGAATTCTGCGGCAGTCTGCAGACATTGAGGAAGTAGATCGAAGAGTTCAAGAATATGATCAAGGTTTTTTCTTTCTTTATGTTTTTTGATGTGTTGACTAGGTTTTTTGATTTTTTTCAGAAAATACAATTATCATGTTGGTTTTTACATTATTCAAATCAATGTGACTGATTGCATTTGTCCAGTTATATACTCGAAGATTTTTATTTTTTTTTATCAATTTATATTTTGCTTTATTCAGAAAATACAATTAGTCATGCTGGTTTCTACTCTATTCAGAGCAACGTGACTGATTCCATTGGTTGAGTTATATCCTCCAAGACTTCGTTTATATATCAGTATAAATGCATTAGGTGTTTATATTTTTTGCTTTTGGTCAATGATGATTCTGGTGCATTTATTTCGCTTATAATTTTGAGATTTTCTTTATGAATGATAGGGAGAGATATGACCCTAACCTGGTGAAGTGGGATAATATGATCTTTAGCAGAAGAGAGGTCTATATGGCAAATTATCTACTTTAATGGAAGAGTTTCTCTTTAGAGAAGGTTAACTGAGATGTTATCTGAGATACGGATAATGTGTTCTCAGTAATAAGAGCACGTACAGAGATCATTGGCCTGTTTCCAGATATGTCAGTACTTCTGCAAGGATAGTCTAGTGATTGCCTTTTGACATGATGCATCTGTTGTTTTCTCTGCATATTCTTGCATGCTATTGTTTTTTATTTTTTTGTTGTCAAAAGTCCATGTTATAAAGTCAAAAAATAAAATCTTCTTCAATGTTCTTACCAAAACTTGCATATTGGAAAAAATCCCTACATTTATGCTTTTAGCACATTTGAGTTCTGAGAAGTGGACTTTTGTCCCTCAGAGCTGTGCCTTTATCAGAGTAGTAAATGGCTTTGTAGAGCGTGGAAACTGTCTTGGAATTCCTGAACTGAAGTGTGTGTTTCTTGTCTGCTTTTTGTGAATTTTCCTCTTGCTAGTTGATTGATTGTACCTGCCCAAATGAGGTGCATTAAATGTTGTCTGTGTTTTTCATTTGGGAGTTTCTTGTTCTGATCTATTTTGTGATTTGGCAATTTCAATGCCTGGGGTTTTATCTTAAGGTTTTGTCCCATAAAGCTAGGTAACATATCTTCTAGTTCACTTAATATCACACATCAAGTTCAAACCCCAACTTTATGTTGGGGATTGAGTTCAGTATATATGTTGGTCTGTATTTGGGTTCCTTTTTGGAGGATGATTTACATCATACTATGACGAGAAAGTCTTATAGCTATTTGTATGATTTTTTTCTGTGGACTTCTCTTTGTTTTTTAATCTTCTCAAACGAGGTAATCTACATGGTGTCCATACTAATACGAAGACTACTTGATTATAGGCAATACTGAATTTGATCCGGATGAGGATGCTCATGTTATTGGTGACTGTGTTAAGGTTTAATTACCATCTTTCTTACTCAGTCATGCTGGTTTGGCTTTTATTTAAAATTAATTTTTCAATGGAGTTACCTGCTCTTCAGCTTGTTCTTCGGGAGCTGCCTTCTTCTCCAGTTCCTGCATCCTGCTGCACTGCTTTGTTGGAATCTTACAGTAAGTACATCACTTCATAATGTATGAGTTGGCACATCCCATCTGTTTGCTTGTAAAACGTTGGCTTACATTCTTCAGTGTTTTAAATAATAAGAATTTATTTATTTCCAAGTCTTGAAAAGAAATTGATCGGAAAGAAGCACAGGTGAATGCAATGCGCTCTATAATACTGGAGACATTTCCTGAACCCAATAGGCATCTGTAAACTTACTGTAGATTACATCACTTCATAATCTATGAGTTGGCACATCCTGTCTGTTTGCTTGTAAAACATTGGCTTGCATTCTTCAGTGTTTTAAATAATAAGAATTTATTTATTTCTATGTCTTCAAAAGAAATTGATTGGAAAGAAGCACGGGTGAATGCAATGCGCTCTGTGATACTGGAGACATTTCCTGAACCCAATAGGCGTCTGTTACAGAGGTACTTCTGGTCCACTACCGAACACTTTGCATGTTCTCATGCATCAACATGAGCGACTCCATGTACATATCTAGTTGATTATTTGGTCAATTTGTCTCCTCTATTTGCAAATTGCAATTCAGCTTTACGCGATGCTTTCTCTTTTCATCGCATAATCATTTGCTTTGGTTCATTGCCAGTGGCATTTTGATCATTACCAGTGATGTTAGAAGAGCTTCCAGCTCTTAATTTGCAGTACGTCCTCAGGATGCAATCCTGTGATGCAAATTGTTTGAAATCCCTTGTTTAATATTTGGCTTAATAATATTATAGTACTATGTGCGAAATATTCTTTCCCAATTGTTATTATTTATGTTAAAAACCATATAATTTTAATGTAAAATTCTAAATTTGTAAATGCATCCTCTGATAAAAGAGAAGTTGCAGTAGAGTGTTTACCATGCAACGGAAAAGAATTTCAACAGTTAACGGTACAAAAAATTAATAAAAGGTCTACAATCCTAATGTTATGAGTAGAGACCTACAGAAGACATCATAAGGCATACATAGATGCACTAGGTTTTGGTCTTTATAGGACTAGTTGATTTACGTGGCACTACCTTGGGCGAAACATTTATTAGCAACAAATAATATGCTGCATTTTTCAGTCATTCGACCTGTTTAGTTGTAGAAATTAGGCTAAAAGGCACTGAGAGAATAATAACAGGAGAAATATAAAGAGCCATAATACTCTTTGATTTGGGAGGCCTTCAACAAAACCCTCCAATGCTCTTGGTTGAGGCAAACCTTTAAAAAATCGTTGCTCTAGACTTCCCACAAGTTGAGATGTTACCATCTTTTCAGAAATATTGTAAAAAATGTGACTATTTAACAACCATTTAAAGATTTTACCGTGGATATCCCAACATCTCAGGAAATGCTAAAATACAGTCAAAGCTTAAATATAAACTGCGTTCTTGAGTGAAACGGGGAATGGACGTCAATTCAAGCTGAGGAAGTCAATCTCTTTCCAATATTTTGCTGATGGTGGATCTAATTTATTAACATTTTGATTAATTTTTTGGTTTTGTGTTGATGTATTTCAACCTTTCAAAATGGAACTTCAGTTGACTTAAAATGGCAATGTCCAAATATTTAGTTTCAGTTAAACGTGTCTTTCTTACTTACACGTTGTTAAGATCATTGTAATTTGTATTACATGGTTTGTGCACAAATATTTCAAATTGAAACTGCCAGATCACTGTAGCATGATAATGGCAACATTTAACTGTCAACAACAATTATTATGCATGCTCAAGATCAATGTTCTTCTTGCACATAGGGTGATTGCACCTGCAATCTGGTCTGATCTTGATTTTTTATTACCATCTTTGTCATGTTGGCTTCAGTTTTGCTATCCTCATGAAATATCTTCTGTATATTTTTTGTAGAATTCTTAAGATGATGCATATTATTTCCTCCCACGTTTCTGAGAATCGGATGACTCCATCTGCTGTTGCTGCTTGTATGGCTCCATTGCTCTTGCGGCCTCTTGTAGCTGGTGAATGTGAATTGGAGGATGATTTTGATACCAACGGTGATAATTCTGCACAACTTCTTGCTGCTGCGAATGCTGCTAATAATGCCCAAGCAATTATTACAACACTTTTGGAGGAGTATGACAATGTATTTGATGTACGTTACCCTTGCTCGTTGATTTTGGAAGCGTGTAGGCTTATTAGGAGATGGATTTCTGATCGTGTGTTTTAAGTCAGGGACATTGACATTTCTGTCCCACTTCTTTTTTCAACTCAGTCATCTTCTTCGTTATATCCTCATATCTACTTTTCTAGTTGCCTCACAAAACTTATAGGCTAAGGCTCATGCATAAAATGAATTCGGTTCAGATGCACTTTCTTTAGAAAATGAACATATCTGTTTGGTGAAGTTAGTTGATGCAGTTTTTAGGAAATATTTTAACCTGTTGCATTTGATCTGAATAACATCAACGGGACTTATTTCAGCCCCTCTTATTGATTTAGTTGTTATACTCTGTTATTACTGTTTGAATTAGAGTTTGGTATGAAGTTTTGAGAAAAAAGGTTAATTTCCTTCCTCTCCTATTCATTCATTATATAGAAAAACAAGAGTACATATATGGAAACTTGACAATTACGAAAATACAATAAACTGTAGTTATACTCTTGCCTAATTTAGATGATTTATTTCCTTAACAGTCCCCCTCAAGTTGGAGCATATATATCATATAAGCCCAGCTTGGAACACAGATACTTCAATCGATTACCGTTCAGGGACTTTGTAAACATATCAGCAAGCTAGTCTCCTGTCTTCACAAATGGTGTACATATATCGCCACTCAATATTTTTTCCTGGATAAAGTGACAATCAACTTCAATATGTTTAGTCCTCTCATGAAAGATTGGATTAGACACAATATGTAAAGCAGTCTGATTATCACAAGACATTGGAATAGGAGTAGAAGGTGAGAAATTGATTTCTTGAAAAAAGTGCTGTAAGCATGTCAACTCACTAGTAGTATGAGCCATCGCCCTATATTCTGCTTTTGCAATTGACCTTGCGACTACAATTTGTTTCTTACTTTTTCAAGAGACAAGATTACCATCGAGAAAAGTACAAAAACCTGTAATAGATCACCAATCTGACAGGGATCCCGCCCAATCTTCATCTGTAAACTCTTCTATTCTGATATGTCCATTCGGTTTATACAACAATCCAAAACTTGGAGCCTTTTTCAAGTACCGAATAACACGTATCACAACTTCTCAATGAGGAACTCGGGAGTATCCAAAAACTGACTAATGACACTTGCTGCATAGGAAACATTTGGTCATGTGATGGTGAGATAATTTAATTTTTCAACTAAACGACGATATTTTCCTGGTTCTTTATACAATTCTCCTTCATCCTTCAAAAGCTTCACATTAGGATCCATGGGAGTATCAACTGGACGAGTTCCAAGATAACCAGTCTCATTTAACAGATCAAGTACATATTTTCTTTGCAATAAATTGATACCTGCTCGTGACCTAGCGACTTCAATACCAAAGAAATATCATAGCTTGCCTAGATCTTTGGTCTGAAAATATTTTTGTAGAAACTGCTTCAACCGAAAAATCCCATCTGCATCATTACCAGTGATTACAATATCATCTACATAAACTACAAGGATAACATAACCTGCACCAGTTTGTAGATGAAATACTGAATGATGTGTCCGACATCTTTAAAGACCAAATTCTAAAACAACTTCAGAAACTTCCCAAACCATGCCCTTGGTGATTGCTTTAAACTATATAGAGCCTTTTTCAACTTACAAACATAATTCTGGTACTCCCCCCGAGCAACAAATCCAGGTGGTTACTCCATATAAATCTCTTCGTGTGAGTCACCATGAAGGAAAGCATTTTTAATATCCAATTGAAATAGGGGCCAACCAAGGTTAGCAGCGATAGAGATCAAAATTCTAATAGAAGAGATCTTAGCAGCTGGAGAGAATGTTTCATCATAATCAATACCATAGGTCTGTATGTAACCTTTAGCAACCAATCGAGCTTTCAATCAATCAACAGTTCCATCAAGATTGAATTTCGAAACAAGGACCCATTTGTTACCAACATGACGTATGCTAGCTGGTAAAGGAACGAGTTCCCAGGTCTTATTCTCATGCAAGGTTGCCACTTCTAATCCCATAGCCTTTTGCCACTCAGGATCAAATAAAACCTGAGTCATTGTTTTAGGTACAAAAACACTAAAAAGTTGGGATGTAAAACAAGAAAAAGAAGGTGACAACGAATCAAAAGTAACATAGTGACTTATAGAATGTTTAGTTACACAAGTACGTTTACCTTTACGAAGAGCAATAAGCAATGACTCGGGATCACAATAGATGACGGATGCAGGATCTGTAGACGGTAAGGTGATGGATGGGGCCACAGATGTTGGAGGCTTAGGTCATCGAGTATAAACCTGTAAAGGATGTGATGGTTCCTTTTGAGTGGAGGACAACTTTGATGCAGTAGATAGAGTCGAGTCTAGTCCTGGAGATGTACCAACAGGTAGATAAGATACTAATAAGTTAACGGGGACTCGAGTGGATTCAGAAGACGTACTATGATCCGAGAAATAGGGTGTGGATTCGTAAAAAATGACATCTGCACTTACAAAATAGCGTTGTAGAAAAGGATTATAGCACCGATACCCTTTTTGTGTTTGGGAGTAACCAAGAAAAATATATTTCATAGAGCGAGAGTCGAGCTTATCACGACCAGGACCGAAGTGATGAATATAACAAATACATCCAAAAACCTTGAGAGGTAACGAATACAAGAGAGAAGGGAGATGCACCGTCCAAAATAGAGGAAGGCATGTGATTAATGAGATAGCATGCAGTAAGGACAGCATCACTCCAAAAATGTTTAGGGACATGCATATGACAAAGAAGAGCTTGAGTAACTTCTAACAAATGACGATTTTTGCGTTCTTCAACTCCATTTTGTTGTGAAGTATACACGCGAGGTGTTTGATGAGTAATGCCTTTGGAAGATAAATATGATGTAAAAGAGGCAGACATATATTCTTAGGCATTATCAGACCGCAAAATACGAATCTTCTGGTTAAATTGAGTTTTAATCGAAGTACGAAAAACTTAAAAGATAGACATTAATTCAGGACAAGTTTTCATTAGGAATAACCAAGTCATACGAGAATAATCATCCTCAAATATAACAAAAACTGAAATTTATTAGAGGAAACATTAATTGGTCCCCATATATCAGAATGCATAATATCAAATAAACTAGAAATACGATTAATAGTTCGTAAAAGAAAAGACACACAGTAATGTTTACTAAGCTGACAAGCTTCACATTTAAGAGAGGAGACATTACGAAGACTCACAATTTGACGTTTTAAAGTAGAAAGGGAAGGGTGACCAAAACGATAATGCCACTGCATGGGTGAAATAGAAGACTAGAGAGCTTAAGGAGAGCAGACTGGAGAAAGAATTAGGTAGTATAAGCCACCAACCTCATGCTTCGTACCAATCATCCTCTTTGTCTTGAGATCCTGAAAAGCACACAAAGAAGGATAAAATGTTATAGAACATTGAAGAGATGATGTAATTTTACTAATAGACAATAAACTAAAGGGAAAGTTAGGAACATGAAGGACAACTGGCAACACTGGTTTGGGGAACCGTTAGCAAGAGTGACATATTTGGATGAAGCAGTAGGATGATAATCAAGAAGGTAAGTAGACGAACTAGTCATGTGTTCAGTTGCCCCGGAATCGAGAATCCACGGATAATGAGTAGATGACGTTAGATAGTGAGAAGACGTGGTACCTGACTGAGCGAGAGTGGCCATAGAAGTGGAAGTGGCCTGTTTATGAGCTAAGAACCCAGCATACTCATCCCGTGGTACAGATAAGAAATCAGATTTTGATGTTGAACTAGACTTAGCCACTGTTCCATATACTAGGTGATGATCCTCATTAGGCGAGACAGGACTAGCAAAACTAGATGATTTACCATATAAGTCCCAACAGTAATCAACAGAGTGACCTATACGACCATAGTGAGTACATTTTCGAGATTCACGAGTTAATGAACGATTACTGGCTCTAGTGTCTTGTCCATCCCGAGAGATAATACCACGACTACTTTGACCGCTACGTCCACCCCGGAATGAGCCATCCCGAGCAATAAAGGCAAAACGATCTCCGCTGGGTGTACTATCTGAGAGAGTAGAGCGTTGAATACGGGAAAATGTTTCCGCAAGACTAGGAAGCTCTTTTTCACCTAATATCTGTGCTCGAATTGCTTCAAACTCTGATGGAAGATTGATAAGAAATTTGACATCATCGATATCTTCTTGTTGTTTTTCCATGACTTTCAAATCAAGAGCTAAGGATTGATGCATATTCCTTTCCTGACACACAGCTAAGAGCTTATTGTAATATTCAACGACGCTGGAGAAACCCTTCTCAAGCTCAAGAACTGTTTACACGTTTCATAGATTCGAGTAGCATTTCCAGTTCCAAAATGTATATGTTTGAGATGCTCTCAAATTTGTTTAGCCGTAAACATATAGATAGATGAAGACCCGATATGAGGTTCAATACTGTTGATCATAAGTCCAATGATTGCATTATCCTCTTGATCCAACCGATCATTAAGAGTAGAGTCAGCCTTTGTAGAATCATTTTCTAAGAGTTTGAAAGACGGCTTGCCTAAAATGAAGTGGTTATATAAATCCTTACCTCGCAAAAAGACCTCGACACATCTAGCCTAGTAAGTGTAATTTCTTTCATTCAATTTTTCAGGTACCATTGGTCCAGTCATATTGAAAATCTCCATTTTGGATGACATGATACTATCCACCCAAACTACTAATAAACCATGAACAGACTCACAAACCAAGTGATCAATCCAACAATAAAAGTAAGGGGCCCAAAATTGAAGAAGCCCACTGTTAAGAAAGAAAATCAATTAGGAATAATGTATGTTAGGCAAGAACATTTGATAGTATATTTAGTTTCCATATATGTACACGTTAATTTTTTCTATATAATAAAAAGAAGATGAGAGGAAGAGTTTACCTTCTTCTCTCTAATGCTTGTACCAAACCCTAGTTTAAACATGGTATCAGAGCCGA